AGCAACATTAATCTAGGTATAAAAACAGAAATACCCCTACGCTAACACAATGATCACCCACTCAAGTGCTATTCCAAACTGCTCCAATATACCCAAATATTCGGCCCTAAGTGGATCCCACCGATTGGTACGTCAAAAGCAACTCAGTCCAACATTTAGTGAAGTATCACCATCAAGTTTGGAGTTGAATGCAATTTTCCAGTTTTGCCCCCTAATAGTTGAGACCCCACCAATTCGGTAGTACAATAATGTCAACCTTAATATGATTAACTCCCAAGTTTATCAAATGGCTAGAACATTCTAAGCTAACACGAGTCTCGTAAATGCCCAACTTGAGTGATAACCATAGAAACATACAAAAACACACATGAAATAACAATGTTATGATTTCATTCAATAATAAATAACAAATTACATCAGTCTGGTTGGAACAGAGGGCGTACACTATCTAACAACCCCCACTTTCACTTGGGTTCAATCAATTACAAGTCAAAGTCTCATACTACCCACATGTTTATCAAACACTTTGTATGTTAGTGGCTTAGTTAATGGGTTTGCCACATCACCCGTTGATGCTATCTTCTGTATTTGGATGTCCCCTCTTCTAACTATCTCCTTCAAGATGCCGTACTTCCTCTCAATGTGCTTAGACTTCAAGTGGGCTCTTGGCTCCTTAACTTGAGCAATGGTTCCAATGTTGTGACACACCAATGGAATGGGTGATGTGTTGGTCAATATGATTCCCAGTTCATGGACAAATTTCTTTATCCATATTGCTTCCTTGGCAGTTTCACTTGCAATAATGTACTTAGCCTCGGTTGTGGAATCCGCTATGGAACCTTGTTTGTTGCTTCTCCAATTGACTGCAAAAAGATCCCAATAGATGTAGACTTTTTATCATCTTGATCTAATTGGAAGCCTTTGTATACTCGACAACCTGTAGTGAACTATCGTCAAAGATTAAACAATAGTCTTTGGTTCTTCTTAAGTATTTAAGTATGTTTTTCATTGTAGTCCAATGTTCCTATCCTAAGTTGGACTAATATCTACTTACAATATTGACAATTTGCACAATATCAAGCAAAATACACAACATAGCATACATGATGCTCCCTGCAGGAGAGGTATAGGGAATCATAATCATCTTCATGTCCTCGATCTCCTTGGGAATCTTGGGTGATATACCCATGGATAGAGTGACTCCATGATTGAAAGGGATAAATCCCTTCCTAGAGTCATGCATGTTGAACCTCTTTATGATCTTATCAGTGTAAGTAGACTGAGACAATCCTTTTTTTTTCTCAATAATAGAAACAATTCATTAATGAGAAATAAGAGATAGGTACAGAAGCAAGGGGAGATAAACTCTCTTAACTCTCTCAAAAGTAATAGATTACAAACAAGTCCAAAACAAATGATTTCTTTCCACCCCTTGTTTGGCTAGTGCATCTACAAAGGAATTGGCACATCTCTTAACCCATTGTACCCTTACTATCATATCCCGAGTTAGCCATTTAAATACTCTCTTTTCATTCAGGTAGCTCTAAATGTTGCTCTCCTCCTTTTGCAATCAATCTATTACCAACTCCGAGGGGAGTCTCCTTCCCCAATTGGGCCTGAGAACATGGCAACAATCGCACCCACCTCATTGCTACCATCATTTATCGGGGACTAGAAGAGTCCACACTAGATGAGGAACAACCTTGTTAGGGGCTGAACAAGCAACTTCCTTCCAATTGTTCAACAAAGCTGAAGTGGGAATATCTCAATATCTTCAAGGACTTCACCCCTTGTATTACCCTTGCCATAATTACTTCAATAATTGCTTCTCTAGATCTTTCCTTATCAGCAAATGCTCTTTGATTCCTTTCCTCCTTTCCTCCCAGATTGCCCAGTATACAGCAGCCCTTGTACATCTCCATAAAGCCCTCCCCCTTTTCTTTGAACAATTACCGGCAGTAAGACCAAAGAGACTTCAAACATCTAGTTTACAAAGAACGCACCAAAAAGGCTTCTTTCTTTGAAGGAGGTCACTAGTGTTGATCCTTCCCTAGAAGGGCTTCCCAATAGAAAGCCCCAATCCTAGGTGGAATCGATTTACCCCATACTTTTTTAACTGGAAAGGTTTGCCAACACTATGAGAAGGCACTGTTAAAGCTTTAACGAATGAAGCACAGGAAAAAAATACTTGAGGAAGAAGGAATCCATATTCTTGAGTCCAACTTTGAAGGGTCCAAGCAAACTCCTTGTAAGATATGAAGAAGAGATAGAAGGCTATTTAGGTCTGAATCCCTGGTTCCCCTTCTAAAACCCAAATCCCAGTCAATCTCAAGACCCTCAATAGGAGATGAAAGGAAGGTGGGAATTGGTTCACTTTTGTAGTCAGACAAGGCAAACAAAGAAGGAAAGCACTCTTTCAAGGGTAATTCTCCCACCCACAAATGTTCCCAGAATTTTACCAAGTTCCCAGAGAAAGGATTATACCTGATAAAAGGAAGGAAGGAAGGTAGGATGGCATGTATTGAATTCCAAGGAGAAGCACTAGTAGCTCAAGGCAACACTCTGGCATCCCAACCTTCAGCCTTTAGTCGTCAGCCCATGAATACTCAAAATCACCTTAGCCCATAACCTATCCTTCTCAACTGGAAGCCTCTACAACCACTTCCCTAAGAGAGTCGTATTTCTTTTTTGAAGATTACCAATTCCTAAGCCCCCATAATTCAAACTCTTATTGCCTGTTCATTTGCTCTTATGTCTGACATCTAAAAGTGCAATAATTACATTAAGAGGTATATTGGTATTAGTGAACTTTCTTTCCTCTTAACTCTAAATGCAGATAATGGTGTTCTGAATTCTAAATTCTGAAAATTATCAAATATCCATTTTGACCCCATATATGAGAGTTTTTGTTTGTCTTTTGGGGGTATCACTGGAAAACAAAAAGTTGTATGATTACACTTTAAGAGATAAGAGATAAGAGAAAACAAACAACCATTTTTCCCTTAAAGTTAAAAGATTCATCTTAAGAGATAAGAGTTAAGAGGAAACGAACAGGCCCTTAGTTACAATTTACCAATTGACCCTGTTATCTTTCCTTTCCTCCCCTGGTTCCCACAAGAAATCCCTAAATATTTTTCCTAGGATTTTGGAAACCCCAACTGGCATTTTGAAAATTGAAAGATAATAAACAGGTAGGCTAGCCAATGTTGACTTAATTAGGGTTATCCTCCCTCCCAAGGACAGGTAGTTTCTCTTCCAAGAGGCTAACATCTTTGTGACTCTCTCCACCACTGGATTCCAAAAATTGGCACTTCTCGAATTGTCTCCCAACGGAAGGTCCAAATAAGTCATAGGCCAATGCGATACTACACAACCCAATATAACTGCACAATTTGACATCTCCCTTTCATCCATATTCACTCCCACTACACAACTCTTATCAAAATTGATTTTCAAATTTGATATTCGCTCAAAGAGTTAGACCACTAGTTTCAGATTTCTCACCCAACTAAAGATCACTGCCTTCATAAAATAAGATTGTGTCATCCGCAAACTACAAATGTGTAATAAGCACTCTATCCCTTCCCACTCTCCAATCTCTAACCAATTCCCTAGAATCTACTTTTTTGATTAATCTCCCCAATACATCAGCTATCAAGGTAAAAAGAAAGGGGGATAGAGAGTCACCCTACCTAATCCCTCTAATGGCTGGAAAGTGATCAACTACAGTCCCATTTGCCAGAATTGAGTAGTGGCAAGTTTTCAGACAACCTCGAATCCATTTACACTATCAAATCGTAAGCCTTTTTCAAAATCAAGTTTACACACTATTCCTTTCTTCCTACCCCTCTTGAAATCCTACACACTCTCATTTGCAATTAAAATCTGATCAATAATTTGTCTATCTTTTACAAAAGCTCCTTGATTTGGGGAGATGATAAAAGGAAGCACAACTCTAATTCTTTGAGACAAAACCTTTGCAATGATTTTATACAGGCTATTAACTAGGCTGATTGGTCTGAAATCCTTTAGGTGGTTTGCTTCTGCTTTCTTTGGGATCAAAGCAATAAAAGTTGAGTTCATTCTAGGACAGTCCTATTAATCACTTCAATCTATCACTATAGAGTCAGAGGCCCAAGATATAGAAGCCTATCCAAGATCCTTTATAGAGAACTATTGTGAAAGTCATACTTTCAGTGAAGACAACATTCCTAATATCATTCCCAATGAGCGGAATGTCATCCACATAGGGTACTAGAAATAGAGATGTCATACATTGCAGCTTATCATTTTGAGAAATAATGGTTGTTTTAATAAAAGATGGAAATGGTAACCTGTGGTAGATTGATTCACAAGAAGAAATGACAAAGATTGGACAAAAAAATAATATCATAACTACTACATCACATATCCGGCAATTATATTGTAAGTGAAATTATATTTATAACCGTCATGGCTCTAAAATTGATGATTCAGCACCCTTACAAAAAACACAACTATCATGTAGTTTGACATTCATGGGTTTAGCTTGTTGTTTGAGATAGTAAAGGCATCTTGAAAGGCTTGGAAAATAACATCACAATTATTATATTCCCATATCCAGTAATTCTAGTGTAGGTGAAATTATATTTGTTACCAATAGAGCCATGAAATTGGCCTTTGACATTGTGGATTTGATGACAATTGCTTCTTCAATTACACCCAAAATATTTAAGAGTTTCACCAAGCCATACGACAATGAATTATACATCCATTAGAAAACATGAAAGAATAAAGTAACATAATAAACCCACGGATTGGAAAGTAGGAAGAAGACAAAGAAAATCAAACAAGGGACTTTCACTAAAAAATTAAGACAATACAAATTCGCGCTGTAGCATACATGTTTTTTGGCACCAATTTGGCAATATCTGACAAATAATATTCAAAACATTTAACCATACTCAAAAACAACAAACTACCACAACTACAAATACAAATGCAAAACAAACAACATGTACCTCTCATTGCGATTAAGGCGTGCACCGAAATAGAAAGCCACGGAGAGCAACCAAGAATCACTGTGCACAGCAACCAAAGAAAGCCAGTCCTTGCGGTTCATCCCATCTCTTGCGAAATTGATTCCTAATGCCGGCTCGGGAAGCTCCGGAGGAACTTCCTCCGCGGGAAGAGTAACTTCCCAAGTTTCATTAGGATGTCCATATAGGCATAAATTATCTTTCTCTGAAAAATTATGCGAAAACAAAGGAATAAAAATAAATTAAAAAAAAAAAGCATAAACACCTAGACCCAAAATTTATCACTACTGTGTTTGCTTGTTGTGGTTTGTTTGTTTAACAAATCATTTTTCTACCAAAAAAAATTAACTAACATCATATAATTACTTAAAATTCAAAGTGCACAAGGAAAACTCAACGTTCCAAACAGAGGAAAACAAAATTACACGTATTTGCGAGAATCACGGTTTACACTCAAAACAGAACAAGTAGCAGTATAATAAAACTGAACTAACCTGGATCGCAAAGTGCGTAGAATTCATCGACATCTGAGGGGAAAAAATACAGAGGTCATTCGAATTAAGAGAGTCAGCATGTTGAGAGATCAAAAAAGTAGGGTAAGAAAATTAAATAAAGTTGATGAAACAGGTACCGTAGATCAAAGCTCGAATGATGCCTTCTCTTCGACCACTATAATCCTTGAAGATCTCCTCTACCGTACGAGGACCCGAAGAAATCGAGGCCATTTCCATAGCAAGGCGTTTGCTACGGTACGACTGACGTTAAAGTTGGGAATAGAGATCGATTGTTTCGTGGATTGCAAGCTTCGATGGACTAACGTTGCAGAGACTGTAAGCGAACGAGGCGAGCATTGTTCGTCACTCGTCAGAGACCGAGGCCCGTCGAAGGAGCGCAACAACAAATTCCCCCATTTTTTACCTCTGTGAGACGTGTGAGAGAAAATACCGTTTCTCCTTTTTGGGATTAACGAGCACTTGTCTGATGTGCGCCCAGGGCCAAGTGGAACCAACACATTGTCACGAGACTAAATGGTGAGGCCCGTTGCGGCACTCGTTGTGTGTCGAGTAAGCCTACGAGATAAGCAACAACACAAGAAAAGACAATAAGATGATACACGAATTAGTCAAAAGATGATTTGTATTGCATTAAATAGTGGAAAGCATAAATATACAAGTTTGTGTCGAAGGGACCTTGTACTTAATCTTTACACGGCATTAGCACCACTCAACTATCTACCTCCTCTCAAAGAGTAGCTTAAGCTCTGGAAGAAGGTTACATCAAAATATTGAACTATCATACTTGTATTTACGATTATGCCATTAGCATCCCCCCAATACAAAATACATAATTAGCCCCACCCAAGACACATTTGATGGTACTCTAATGGTGAGACGTGGGCACGACAAAGGCACTTGAAGACGTGGTGAAGCAGTCACATGTGATAGTCTCCCCCACTCAATTCGGTCTTCGTCCTCGAACACCAACTCTTACTTGATGCTTTGATCTGACTGTTGGTGAGGGAGGATTCTTTACCTGCTCCATGAACACTATCTCTCCCAGGGCCCAAGCATGGTCTTGATGGGTAGTCTTGAAAGTGTTCATTGTGTTGGGAAATCCTATAACTATGGTCTAGATTCATTCCTTTCCTGGCCGCTTCAAAGTAAGACAAAGGAGGGTCTAGCTTGGTTGAAGGGAAAGTTGGGGCCAAGTTCAGAGCAAAATGGGGTTTTGGATTGTTAGGACTTAAATTCCCAAAATGATTTGTCCCCCAATGATGGCTTCTCGCAAGATTCCTAGGAGGAATGGAGTGATGGCTGTTGCGGGAAGGGTACCTATGTGGGTAGAATGGCACTCACTCTTCCCTGTAGTGGGTGTGTTTGAAATGGTTGTGGCTAGAGATGGCCTTTGGTCTTCCGGGCGCCTTCGATGTTGGATGATGGTTGCGCTGATGCTGGTGTTGATGCTGAGGCTGGCGCAGATGCTGACATTGTTGTTGAGGTTGGTGCTAGAACGGCTTGGGCGGAGATTGCTTCTTCGTGATGGCTTCCTTACCCATTCGGGTGCTGATGTGATGTGTCAAAGAGGGGATCTTCTCTATTGTTGACATGGTGTTGGCTCTATGGACGTCTGCTTCTTGGTATAGTTGAATGGCTGAAAGTTGCTTCCCATGTACCTAAAGTGTTGTTGTCATCGGGATCATGCAAGGGGGGCGCTCGTCTAAGATGAGTAATCTGTTGATGTGAGGCATGAGGGTTGCTTCCGCCTGTGTCAAAAACTCCACTCCGAGAACAACTTGGAAATCATCCAAGAGAACCACAGATAGGTTGATGTTGCCCCTCCATGGTCCCACTTGGAGCTCTACTCCACGAGCCATGCCTTTGATTGCTTTGGCCCCCGAATCGATAGCTTTGACCCAGCCCATTTGTTTTGTGGTGGTTAAGCCAAGGCGCTCAACTTTTGCCTGGGAGATGAAATTGTGTGTTGCCCCGGTGTCTACCAAGGCTTGAGTTGGCCTCCCGCCAAGGGTGATGTTTATGTATTTCAGCCCCTTGTGGGCTTTGTTGGACTGTTTAGTCATGACCTCTTTCTTGACCATGGCATTTATGAGTTTGAGGGCACCAACTCTAGGCAACTGTGTGGGTCTCTCCTCATCATCACTAAGCTTGGTGATGAGGGCATTGATCTTCTTCTGCAAGGGGCATTGATTGGTCCAATGCATATCATTGCAGCTGAAACACGGGGAAGGAGGTGTGGCAGGTCTCCTGTACTAGTAACCTTGGGAGTTAGAAGATCCTTGTGGATTCTTTCCTTGCTGCTGATTAACTAGCTTGCTGGTGGATGGTTGCTTCTCTCGAGGGAACATGGACTRCACGTCTCCTCCACTCAAGCTTCTGGTACATGGGCTAGGAGGCTGGTGGTCTACTTCATCCGGCTTCTTTAGGTCTACAAGTTGCTCGGCCACCACCACTGTTGTTGCTAGGTCCTTCACCCCTCTTCGTTGTAGCTCAAGCTCGGCCCATGGCTTGAGACCATCCATGAAGTTGAACAATAGGTCCTTGTCAGACATGTCAATGATCTCAAGTATCAAGGTTGAGAATTATTGAACATAATCATGCAATGAGTCCTCTTGCTTCAAGTTCTTCATCTTCCTTCGTGCAAGGTACTCAACATTCTCAGGGTAGAACTGTCACTTGATATATCGTTTGAAGTTGGCCCAGGTGTCGAGGGTACGTGTGCCCCGTTCCATGTCCTGACAACACCTACGCCACCATAACATTGCAATATCATTTAAATACATGGCGGTTGTACATACCTGAATGTGGTCATCATGAATGTCAGTCGTAGAGAAATATTGCTCAAGTTGCCACAAGAAGTTGTCTAGCTCTTGGGCATCCCATGCACCTGAGTAGGGCATCGGTTGTTGTATCTTTATGTGTGTGGTTGGAGCAGATGAGGTGCTATTTGAATTGGCCATGGCCCTTTTTATGAGGGATATCTCACCCCTCATCTCATCCAATTGTGCTTGGAAGTTGTCATCATGCCTTGGAGGTTGCTTTGGGAGGAGCTGGCTTGGGAACATTGCAAGGTGTCATGGGTCTCTTTGAGGGCTCCATTGACATGGGTTTCTAGCTCTACCACGACGTGCTCGACAGTCTCCATGTTTAGTTGGAGTTCATCAACCTAATCTCGGGTCTCACCCACTATTGCTTCGCAATGCAAGACACGCATGTCCATACTTGCTAATTGATCAACGAACTTGTCCCACTTGCCTGTTTTGGTTGTGCGGCCCTTCGGGGCTTGGATTTTGGAAGGTTTGTCGGTTGGTGCCTTGTCAATGTCATGGGCTTGAGACAGGCCATATAGTATGTCACTGGTGGCATCGCAGTTGCCTTTCGTTGTTTGTGCTAGATGTGAGTCGATCGACAGGGTCCAATGTGTAGTGGAGCTCCTGCTCTAATACTAACTATCACGGGGCTAAATGGTGAGGCCCCAGGTGGCACTCGTTGTGGGTGGAGTAAGCCTATGAGATAAGCAACAATACAAGAAAAGGCAACAAGGTGGCACACAAATTAGTCAAAAGATTATTTGTATTGCATTAAACGATGGCAAGCACAAGCACACAAGTTTGTGTCGAGGGGACCTCGTGCTTAACCTTTACACGGTATTGGCACCACTCAACTACCTACCTCCCCTCAAAGAGTAGCTTAAGCTTTTGGTGTTCTGGAAGAAGGTTACATCAAAATATTGAACTATCATACTTGTATTTACAATCATGTTGTTGGCATCCCCCCAATTCAAAATACATAAGTAGCCCCACCCAAGTCACACTTGATGGCACTCTGATGGCGAGACGTGGGCACGATGAAGGCACTTGAAGGCATGGGGAAGTGGTCACTTGTGACAACATTAAATACTACCACTAGTACATTTGAAATAGCTGAACTGAATGATTTGTTGTTTTGTCATTAATAAGTAGTTGAAGTGGCCTTTTGAGAGAGATGAAGCACAATGGTTACTAGGCCTGCGACTTGGATTGGACTAGGGTGCAAACGGATTGGATTATGATCTGGTCCACTTTGAAACCCGATTCTATTTTGTTTGGTTCAAATATCCTATAAATTTTGTGATCRGATCTGATTTGCAAATATGGCAGATTAAAAACGGTCGAGTTTGGATCACCCCTATCCGATTCGATCATGAATTTATTTATAAATGTGTTGATATTGCATTTTTTGCAGTTTTTATATTATTTATTTAAAAAAAAACATGTATATACACTGAAATAGTTGAAAATACTTGTATTTTTTGTTTTTCTTTATATAAACTATTATGCTTTTTCTTATTAATTTTTCAGAATTTTTTGAACTGACACTTGTGAGATCTAATCAGATCTTTGAACTGTATTGGATCTATGATTTGTAACATCAGGTCGGGCTTGAGTTTCAAACCAGTCTGATCCATTTGCATCCCTAGTCTGGATTAGTTTGAATTTTTGGATAGGGTTCAGGGGGACCCAGGGGAGCCATGCCCCCCCTCCCCCCCTAGGCCCCTATGGTCCAAAAATCCCCACTATTCTATGTAAATTTCCCCTTCCCCCACTCCCCACCCCAATGGGTTGGCCCCCATATGACCATCCATATTTATTCCCTCCCCCCCTCCACCCAAAAGTATGAACCCGATTTAACTTCAAGTTAAATTAGGGTTTAGGCCTTAGCCAACCTAAACCTGATGTAGCTTCATATTTGTATGTATGTATGTATGTATGCACTCATTTATTTATTTATCTATTTTTGGTATGCGTCTATCTATATGCATGTTTATAAATCAGGTCATGCCACTTGCGGCCCAGCACTGTAGCATGCAGGCCATGTCAAGCATGGGTTTTCAGGCCCATGGGCCTACAACCTTGCATGACCCATATATATGTATATATGTATATGTAATAATAATTATATAATAATATACAATATATAATGTATTTAATATGTATAAATTTTTATTTTCAATTTATTATGATATTTTATTCCAATTGTATTGTAATTTTTTAATTTCATTTTATTATTTCACATACAAACAATTGTATACATAAAAATTCATATAAAATAAAAGTTTAAGATTTTTGTTTCAATTTTTGTCTATTTTTTAATTTATTTTAAWTTTTTTTTTTCAAATATGCCTCTTATGGTCTAGCCCAAGGCTTGGCCCTTGGCACGGCATGGCACAACCTAGCCCGGGCCCATGTGGGCTAGTGCCATGGGACGTGTTGGGCCTGACCTCAGAAGTATCCTAGAGCAGGCAAGCATGACCTGCGGACTAGCATAGCACAGGCCGTCCGTGGGCCGATATACACCTCTACATGTATGTATATATGAATGTCAACAATTTTAAGTTTAAGGTGAAATTTTTTCACGAGCATGGTAACTATGTCCTATTAGCTATAATAATGCTATTACTAAATTGACCTTAACAATTTATTTGAGTTCGAACCTTAGGGTAATATT